AAAGAAGAAGATGAAGTGAAGGAAGGTTCTGATATGTCGCTCTATTTTTATTTTTTATTTTTTTTGAAATTCTGCCCCAAAATGACGTCGTTTTGGGGCACAGCACGAAGGGCTACAGGATAAGGCGGTAGATGATCCGGACTCAGCCCTCCCAGACACAGTTCAAACCAAAAGGCTCAGATAAAGGGAAATGAGGGGAGAGACAGAGGAGTTATGATGAAAGGAAAAACTGTGTCATTACAGAGGGGTAGAGTGTGGGGATGTAATTTTGGCCCGTGGCCCGCGGCCCGCGGGCGGTCTGAAGCCTGCCTGCGACCTGAGGTAGGCACGGCCCAGCCTGTTTAGGCCTGAGCCCAAGCCCAGCCCGAGGCCTTAGGCCAGGGCCTGGGCCATCGTTTTGAAGCCTGGCCCGGCCTATCGCTCCGGTCAAGGCTCGCCCAAAAGCCGGAGGCCCAGTGTTATTTTTAATGAAAAATAATAAAATTTTGGTCGAAAAAATAAAAAAAAAATTTAAAAATGGTTTAGGCCCGCCCAAATCCCGAGCCCAAGCGCAAACCCAGGGGCTTGACCCACTAGCCAGCCCAAAGCCCGAATACCCCTAGGCCTGGGCTTGGGCCTAGCCCTAGTTTTTTGGCTTGTGGGCCGGCCTAGCCCGATTTTTGGTGGGAGTCTGCAAGGCTCGACATGGGCCGGGCAGGGCCAAAATTACACCCCTGGTAGAGTGCTTCCAAAAAGTTTCAATAGAGGTGCTATCTTTAGAGCTACAACGGCAGCTATATCAAGTTCACTACCAATTAATAGTGAGTCGAGTAAAAGAAGCAAAAGGTTGATCATGGAAGCTAGGGCAACAGTCCAGATGGGGAAATCACTTGGTATAAATTTTGAAGGTAAAGAAGACGAAGCTATAGAGAAAATTATTCAGATGGAAAACAAGGATTTGGAGAGGATTAAAGGGGTTTAGGTGTATTTTATGGTTCCACGATAGAGGAGTGGAGGTAGTGTTAATTCAAGAAACAAAGAGAAGCAGCTAAAGGAGTACATGGGGGTTGGAGTTCATGGGAGTTAATGTAGAAGGATTTGGAACTTAGATAGCTTTCAGCTTTAGGAGTATTGCAGCTCCAGACAAAGATGGGGTGAGATAGAGTACATGGGGTTTATGGTTCAAAGAGAGATGAGTGGATGTAGTGTTAATTTCAATAAAGAGTAGCAGCTCAAGTAGTACATGCGGTTGATGGAGTACATGGGGGTTGATGTAGTAGGAGGTGCTAGAGAGTTGATATTGGTTTCTCACCAACATTGTACAATGAAAGAAATTTCCTCTTTTTCTTTTTTCTTCTGTCATCCTTATTGATATAATCTCATATGAAATATATGTTTTCTTCATTAATAAAGTTTTTTTTTGTTGATCAAAAAAAATAAAAATAAAATAAAATAAAAGTAGTAAGGGTATTTTGATCTTAAAAAATAGTTTACTCTCTTCTTGGCATGTAAACTTCACAATCAGTTAACTTGGGTGGAAAAGTGGACGGTGCACTTTGGTCCACAAATCACGTGGGTTATGTAATTATTTTCAAATGATAAGGAAGCACATCCCCTAACTCTGAAAGCATAAAGTCAAGTTTGCTCAAATTTATTTTACTTGAAGGTGGAGAAGTTCAAATGTTAATTAGCCAAAAAAAAAAAAAATTAAATTAAATAAAATTTGTAGTAGTTAAATTTTTTGAATGACTCCATCTATAAAATTTTCTAAAATCGCCATCGGTTGTATTAGTAAACTCATCCTGTTTGATTTTTATTTCATGGTCTCAGTTTTATCTTCTCACCGAAGTTGTTGCAGGGCCGGCCCCGAGATTTAGGGGGCCCAAAGCAAATCTCAGAAATGGGACCCCTCTTATATTGAAAAAAAAAATCTATAGATAAAACGACAAGTTACAATTTTTTTATTTTTTTGTAACTACAAGAAAATTTACTTGCACATATAATCATTAAAATTATAAATAAAAATTTACTTTCATACATTAAGATAGGAATTAATCATTACAAATACTTAAAAAAAATTAAAAATCTAGTCTTGTTACTTTTTTTTGAGCTCCATGTTTTATTGGGCCTATAGTATTCGAGCCTTTTTTTTTTAAATATCTAAAATACAAAATTATATTTGGGAGCCCCTATTTTTAACCCAAATTTAGGGGCCCAATGCGCAGGTATAGCGATCCCGGTTTTCCCCTTTCTTTTTTTTTTTATTATTCCGGACTCGGTTTCGTGGTTGATGGTTGTTGTCTGTGTTGCATTTCCATCCTTTAACTCTTAGTAAGTGAGTTTAGAAATGTTTTAGGCAGAGTTGTTACAGGTTGGTTGAGCTTTGGTCCCATTTCTCGTTGTCCAGATTTTTGGTGGTACGCTCGAGCGGGTACTTTTGCGCTCGAGCGAAGTTTGATTTTTGGTTGTCCGCTCGAGCGGGTATCTTTGCGCTCGAGCGGAGTTTGCACACTTCTAGTATATGTGCCTCTGCGAAAGTACTGCAGGGTTGTTTTTCACGCTCGAGTGGGCCTCTTTGCGCTCGAGCGGGTGTTTTGTGTCCGTTAAAGTACTGGAGGTGGTGAATCTACGCTCGAGCAAACCTTCTTTCGCGCTCGAGCGGGTGTGTTTTGTAGTTGTGTCTTGGCGCTCGAGCGGGTATTCTTGCACTCGAGCGGCTCTAGTTTTTGTTCTTGACGCTCGAGCGTCCTATTTTCCGCTCGAGCGGACATGTTTGTATATCACTTCGGGACTTCACCTTTTTGGATCACTTTTTGATTTTCTTTCTCTCTCTTACTTTTTCAAAACTCCATTGGAGAGCCTCTTTCTCTCTAAAATACTAACTTCTCTCTAAGGTTTGATCTAGTAGGAGTGATCCCCTATCCTTGGGCCTTTGTAAAAAGTGTTGATCTCGTTGTGGGCTACGTTTTGATCCGAAAATCTTGGGATTTGGAGCATCTCGAAATTCTTCATCTTCTCCCTTTAAGCTCCGAGTTTGAGGTAGGGATTTCCTTGTTCTTTTACAATGCTTCGTCTATATATAAACATGTGGTAGTTTTGTATTGTGTGAAAATCATATCCATGTTGGGTTTGTTTGAAAATCATGAGGGTGAACCTAGGGTTGGTTGCTTAAAAATGGGTTTGTTATCATTGATGGTGATTTGGACTAATTGGGGTGTAAATTAGTATATTATTGATGAAAGAAGAAAAAGCCCTAATTTACTGTTATTAATTAATTTGCATAATTAATTTGGAAAGTTATGAAAGAATGAAATTGGTTTTGTGAAATGGGAAAAGTGTTCTTGGAATAAGTGGCGGAACAAGTCGATTTTGAAAATGGAAAATGAATATGAGAATTGAATTATTGTATCTTGAATGTTGAATACGCACATTTGGGGAGAATTGTTGTTGGGTTTAAGATCTCATGAGAGTTGAGTCTTTATAATAGATGTACTAAAATCATGCATCTAGAGGTTTTGTTCGTGGTCATTGGTGGAGGATGACATGGTTGTGTTGAATTGTCGTGTATGCATTACGCCTGTGTTGATTAAACATTGTATGTAATGAAGTGCTATTGTATATTATATATGTATAAATTGTTAGGGAGGAGAAAGGAGATGTACTCCACACATACTTATGTGTTCATATACTTTAACACATTGCTTATGTATTTCGATAGTTTATGTGTACGTATTACACTTCTTGGTTATACTCTGTTGTATGGTGATTCTTGGTGTTATACCCTGCGCTTATAATTAGAGGTACCGTTACCTTCCAGTTAGCGCCTGGAGAACTGACTGCGCTGAGAATAGAAGGTACCACACCCTTCCAGCTACCGCTTGGTAAAATGGCATATTGTTGTGAGAGTTGTATCCTTGGCTTACTGTGCATATAGCCGGTAGAGCAGAGTTTTTATTGTTTTGTCTCAGTGTATCTGAGTATATCATAGATTGTGATGGTTATAGTTTTGGAGGACCTAGTGGCCTCAATTGTTAATTTATTACATGTTGATGATCTGTGTTATCCCCATTTTATTGAAGGCATGCATGTATAGTTATGGATGTAATGAGAACAAATCAAAATGCCATTGTGAGATTTTGGGAAAGTATATTTTGAAAAAGGGAATATCTGTTGTAAGTATGGAAAATGTGAGAAAGATAATGGACTTAGAGAAATTGATTTCCTAAGAAGTTGTTATTGTTGTGAAAGTTTGGGAACAAGGGTTAATGAAATGAAATGAATTGAAAGATGAATCACTTATAGCGCTGATTGGATAGACTGTTTTGAGAAAAGCTTATACTTATGTATACTTTTATATAAACTGTCACATTATTATTCTAGTACGAGATTGGGCATTCATGATCATAGCTATCTGTAAGTTGTTATTGTTGAGAATCATGTAGAGATCCCTACTGGACTATATGTTCATCCCACGTTGTTGAATCTTTTCACGTGTTAAGCAGGATGTGTTACAAGATGTGGATCTTCTTACTTGTTGGCCACGTGGCCTCTTTTGTGTTGGTGGAATGCCATATATGTAAAAGGGTTACACCCTTGTTTTGATTCTTTAACGATGTAAGTCTTCGGGCATTTTATTCAGTATGCTCATGTTGTATTTAATTTGCATTCGGATGAGAGAATTGTTATTTATTTCTACTCATGGGACTCGAGAGTTTATTTCCGCATGTTATCTCTGAATTTGAATTAAGTTAATGAATTTGGTAATGACTTCGAGTAATAAAAAGTGGGGCGTGATAGCAGGCCTCTCTTGCTTGCCCTCTGGGCCGGCCTTGAGTTGTTGAAGTCAATTGATTTTTATTTTTATTTATTTATTTTTTTTTGGCCTAGTGTTAATACGCGTATATCTGATTCCGAAGACTTTGTCTACGTGAAGACTTTATTTATGCTTTACCTCTACCTTGCAATAAAAGCACATTGTATAGACCAATCTTGGCTATCTTAATGAAATATCAAGATTGGAAATGGAGAACAGAATGTCTGAAGTAGCCCGGACAGGCAACGTAGGAGCATTGCAGAAACTACTTCAAGAAAATCCTTTGATTCTCAAGGATTTTGCAATGGCCTCTCCATATGAGAGTCCTCTCCACATTGCTACTAAGGCCAGACAGCTTTTTTTTGTACAAGAAATCATAAAACACAATCCTGAATTTGCTAGAGAATCAAATCAAGATGGGTTTAGGCCAATGGACATTGCTTCAACTTTTGGCTATGTGGAGATAGTGACAGAGCTTCTTAGAGCAGGTCCTGAAATCTGTCGTTTGAGCGGTAGAGATGGAAAGACGGCGCTTCACTATGCTGCTATAAATGGGAGAGTTTTGGTCATATATCAATTGCTATCTACATGTGGAGCATCTATTAAAGATGTTACCTCTTTGGGAGAAACTGCACTTCATCTGGCTGTGAAGTTCTGCAAATTTGAAGCTTTCGAATGCTTGATCAAATGGCTAGAACGGCTCCGCATGGAGGAGATAGTGAATTGGCATGATAGGGATGGAATCACCGTCTTGCATATTTCAGTCTCTAGAAAACAACTCAAGGCAAGTTCAGCACACCCTATCTTCCTTTTGCTCTCTATACTCAATTAAATCTGTTGTGGATTTTTCATTATCTTGTTAGTTTCAAATTTGTCTATCATGAAAATTATGAAATGATTTATAAAATCTAGACTTCACTAAACCTAATGAGACCAAGGGTTAATGATTTATGAAATGATTTATCATCTTCAAATTGTGCCTCTGTCGATGCTTCAAGAGGTCCAATAGTTTCATCAACAGTTGTTCCATCAATACCTTTCCTAACCCAATCCATGTCCTCCTCACAAGTGAAGGAAGCTACATCTAACTCTTGATCACCAAATCTTTCTACTTCGTTGTGATGTAGTCCTTCATCAATAGTTGGTTGTTCTCCACACACCTCATACAAGTCTCTAGGTTTCATCTTGAGTACAACGTTCCAATCTTCATCAACAGAATCATTAACATAAAAGACTTGTTGTGCTTGAGATGCTAGGATGAATGGCTCATCACTGTCTTGTTTCTTCGCATATAACAAGTGATTAAAATTAACAAGTGTAAAACCAAAATCATCTTGCTTGAGTCCCTTATTGTTATCAATCCAGTTGCACATGAATAACATGTATCTATGGTCGTGTGAGTAATACAATTCAATAATATCTGTCACATATCCATAGTACGCTACATCACCTTCCACTGGATTAATGTCTTTCGCACTTGCATAGCTAGAAGTCTTTGCCTTCACCATAACCCCACTATTCTGAGTTTTTCTTCTCAACTCACAACTCTTAGTATGATACCTAGTACCATTAATTATATACCCATTAAATCTGGTGGCCTTTTGGCTGGGTCCCAAAGCCAAAATTTTAATCTCTTCTAACAACGTTACATTTTCAGTAGCTAATAGCTCGGCAACCTATTTTTCAAAGACATTTATCAATATTAAACATCAATTAACAACTTCAAAAACATAGAAGCACATGGATTGCAAAAATATAGAAGACTTGTGCTTAACATGCACTTACATGAGAATTGAACCATTTGGGAAACTCATCATTGTGACGACGATCCACATCATAATCTCTAAGACGTGCCTTTCAGTCCTCCTCTGCTTGAACGTGAGTACTATGATCTTGGAATGGACGGCGACAAAATCGTGCGCTCAATACATATCCCTTCTGTCTGATCCGTTGCCATATACTGAGGGATGCCTTTTGGATTTTGGGTGAACCAAACCGTTTCTGTGGCAGAATGGTATCGAGGATGCTGATACTATGTAGTTGTCACTCTTTCTTGTGATTGAACAATTGTAATTGGAATATTGAACTATAAGTAGCATCAAGTGGTTGACTGCGAAACGTACTGGAGAGTAAAAAGTAAAAATTTCCTCCTTCATGCATAACTTTTTTAATTCAATGTTATTCATGACTCGCACAAAAAAACAAAGTTCTGAGAAAGTTCAAAGCCATCTCTACTATGTAAGTCAATTGCACCCAAGCATTTCAATTACGCGATTAACTTATGTAAAATGTTGAGTACAATCAAAGAGAGAAATTGAAAAACCAATAACATACAAATATCAACAATTAATGACGAAACAACAAAATTAAGTAGTTTGTATATTAACGATGGCAAGCAGCTAAGAATCACCGGACTAGGATTTTGTTTTCAACAAAAAGAAGATATTCGCTTCACAGCTTTCTTGAGGCATAATTTTGATCTGGAAAAGTCGTCACATTGAAAGCATGAGTCCCTGGAGTCTCCACTAATTTCCAGCATTTCTCCTTCTTCCGAACCAGTTTGTACGACAACTGCCTGCATAAGAATTACAAACCCTATTTCTTGATAACTTTTCTCCAGCTATTAAAACAGAACCTAGGCGCACAGTCCAAGGGGTGGGACAAACTTTGGATCACAAGTGGGTTAGAGTCCTGGATCATCCAATCCAATGATTTGTAATGAAACAACCCAATATTGCTGTTCTAATTCGAAGATGAGCATGCTGGATTCACTGATTCCATTGGTTTGCTTCCCAAAATAGGGTGGAGTTAGAGCATTCATTACAGAGACATCAGATTTCGGAACTGCTCTCATGCCGGTTGTAATGCCAATGTAGCACCTGCACTATCTCCAGAAGTAGAAAATTCGTTTTAAAAATCAACATAGTTATTTACGCATTTACATGACCATGCGGCCAGAGGAGAGCAACACTTGATGGTTCATGAGTCATCATAAGGAAATGGGGAAAAAAATAATCCAACTTGGTGTAATTGGAAGAAAGTTGATAATTAAATGTTTCACACAGGCCTTACTCTCCACCAATTTTGACATTACGACACCGTTTACATGGGCATGAGAGACTGTCATTCACCAACGGGGTTTATTTTCGCAATGCAAATTTAAATAAATTCCTTAACCCCTGTGATGTTAATTCCGGGTGCAACCTATGCTGATTTTATCCAACTTTTATCCATCTCGACTCTGTCTTACATTACAAATGTCACTGCCAACAATCAAACAAAGTTTAAAAATTACCGATTCCATTTTGAATTAAATCTCAACCTCAATTAAGTACCTTATAATCGCATGCGACATGACATCATTCACCTCTAACCTGGTCTCTAATATGTTGGTTCATCCTATTTTCCCATTCAGGAATGCACGGTCTAGTATTGTAAAAAGCAGTTCATACCGCTTTTGTTCATCTCTAACAAATTTCGGCAAAAGCATCTCCCATGGTTCTCCAAA